TGGGAGAGATGTAAGGTTTACAGTGAAGGCAGGATAAGATACAGTACATTTAAGATACATGTCTGAGGATAAATCTCTCAACAATACCGAATTATCAGATAAGCGCTGACGGTACGTCATGTGTGTTAGACAGCTGCACAAAAATGTACCCTGCACCTTTCAAGCCAAGAAGTTAGCCAACCCACCCCCATGCAAAGTGCTTTGTGCTGTGTTTCCCATGTTAAGAATCAATCACACCTGCCGACAGCGAACACAAAAGAGGAAAACATGAACCGTAATTTGTCATTTGTTCACAAATTTGTGGAGAAGCAATGAAAAGGGAAAGAGTTTTTAAAAGACCAGAGAGACCCCATGAAAAGGCACATTTTTGTCAGCCATTTCTCCACTAAATATTGAATCTAAAATGTCCTTGTAACTGTTATATTCATCCACCATCTTTTTTTTAATTTTTTTTATTTGCTGGCGTGAACAGAACTAGGCAGCGTGGAGCGTTATCTCAGTCAGCCATATTTGTTAGTTTGAAAGCAGTCCTAATTTAGCCTGAATACATAGGAAATTAGTCCTACATAAGATAGTAAAGAAACAAGAAAGCTCTGTGGACTTTGATGTGTATCTGAAGTCTGAATAGTCAAAGTCTTCTGATGAGGGGTAATATAAAGGATAAAGGTCTGGAGTAATAACAGTACTACCATGATGCAATCTTTACTACATGTAATTTTATTTGTTGCTGTTTCTAAACTCCAGTGTGTTTCATACTGTCAGATCTACTCAAGAGATTACCTGAGAAATAATCCAATCAAGCAGAGCTGTACAAATCTAGCTATTTTCTGACTTAACTTCAAGTTCAAGGTTCACTTCCAAACTTTTTTTTTCCCCCCTTGTCTTTGTAGAGCTAATATAGCGTGATGAAAGAACGGAAGCACAAGGGTCGCTATCTGCAGAGGTGCCATGTGCTATGGCTGAAGGAATATTCCCTAAAATGGCTCTGGGCACACACCTGAACCCCGTGCTCCACATCTATAAATTTACATCTCGAAATGAGTCGTGCGTCCGAAGCAACAACGCTGCACTAACTACACAAGTGTGTAGAGTGAATGTTGTCGTAGAAATTGACTTGTATGTAATTTTTGCCTCCTTAATCTTTAGCTAATCACGCTTTGGGCAGTGTCCTTCACTGCTGCTGGCCTCACATTGGGGAAAGGAGAGGGGGTCACAAGTGAATGGGAAAAACTAAAAGAGGGAGGACAGGGAGAGGAGCAGTCGCATGAAGACAGCTACGGTGGGGAAAGAGGCTACAGAGAAGGAGTGGGCTGGATGTATAGGGAAAATTGGATAGGGAAACAACAGAGGGAGGGGAGAGGCAGTCAAGAGGAGATAGCAAGGGTAGAGTGGCAGCAGAATGAGCGAGGGTAGAAAGGAGGGAGATGAAGGAGAGAGGGGAAATTGGAGAAAAGCAAAGGAAGGTGGTGGAGGAAGAGCTTTCCCTCCTAGCTGTATACTGCATCCTCAAAGCGGCTTTCATCCGCCCTCACATCAACAGCCTAGGTTGAGAAACCTCTCTGCAAACTCCACGCACACATATACGCACACTCATCAAGCCAGAAAGCGTCCTTCGACAGTAATCACCAGTCTACCTTTTGGCATCATAAAAAACCTTTTTTTTGTGAATTTTGTTGCTACAGACAACTGCTTAAAAAGGAATAGAGAAAGCCCAAAAAGGTTTCCTCTAATTATAGCCAAAATGAGCCTCGTGAGCCAGCTGAGTATTGAAGCCTTTCTAGCTTGAGAGACAAAGCCAAAATGGAATGATTTGCTTTTCTTTTGTTCTACGGGAAATCAAAGGGGCACTCACACAGGTATCTTAGTGCAGGCAGACAGAGAAGACAAACATGTATGCGCAAACGAACGTCCCGATGATACGTCTCTCCTGTATTACCATAATGCTATTATATAGGGGCAAATGAAATTTTACCAGGTACATTAAGTATGCACACGCGCTGTAACGCCTCAGCAAAGATACACACGAACATACACACTGCCTGAATAAATTCTAGGAGCAGAGAGGAGACAAAGGAATTAAAGCAAGGCTGACTAACAGAGTATGACATGTCCAAGGCCTATCACTAATTATGCCCCCACTGCTACAAACTGTTCCCTTACCATGATCCACTGAAACGGGAGACAGGGGAAAAGGCTGCAGCAATTACTGCTGAAACCACCCCATAAGTGAAGTGCATGTTAGTCATAAGAAAGTGTCAGGGAGTGGGGGAAATTCTTTATTAATAAAGACACGGTGCTTTTAGTAAGTTATTAAAGGCTTCCAAAATAATTCTGGAGTTTAAGATTCTGACGGCATTAAAACAATGTGAAAACTTAGAAGTTAAAAACAAAAACTGATTGTATTTTTTTAGTTACCCTACTTCTGTAAATTGTTCTCAGAAGTGCATGCCGATTGTGCCAGAACTAGGGATGGCCATGAGTACTCGAGTACTTGCTTGGATGTCAGTATTTGTTTAATATATAGAATAATCGTCTCTAACATGCAAACATGATTTTTATGTATGTTTTTACTACTTAAATGGGTAAAATCTTATTTCATTGCAGAGCTGCGTGCAGTGACAGGGCCTCCTGTTTATCATGAGACTACTGCTGTGGTGGAGCTCCATGCCTGGGGACCATCGGTAAGAGTGTGTGTGCGCACACACACCCACATACAGGGACAGGGCTAGCTGTTAGCTTCACGTGGCTAACATTACGTAACACTTATGAACAGGTTCAACAACAGTGTCACTGTGAGTTTGTTGGGACAGTTTAAAGGCTCTGTGTTGGATGTTAGCCACTGCTGCTGTGTTAGCTTGGGCAGATGTTGAAGTGACCAGGTGGAAAGTGGCTCCAGACTCCAGAGACAGCACTAAAGTGCTGCTTTTAACCTATGTGATGGCAGCGACATTACGTTTGCTGATTTTTCTAATGTTAACTTTGAATTTTTGGTTTAACAGGCTAATTTAAGCCTTGTTACTCAATTAATTAATTTAAACTTGCACTTGTTTTCCTTTGCAGGCCAATATCTGTTCCTATTATTCCGTTGTTGTTTTTTGTTTTTTTTACAAGTAATTAGAACACTAATAATTTAATGAAAGTACTTGAATATGGAAATAACTTAAAATGCTCATTCCTCGCTGTAACTATAGAGTCTCATTCAACAACTTATACAGGCTACTATGGTGGAAATAAATAAGCAAGAATACTTTATGACAGGAGAATTTAAAACACTGTGTGTCACAAATTTCCACATTAATACAGTAAAAAGATGGAAATCACATCTACTGTTTATCTAGAACAGCTTGCATGTTAATCAGCTTTAGAGAATGTATTTAATGTAAATATATATCTTACATCCCAACTGATATATCCGTTAGCCGATTAATTCAGCCGATATTGACCTATTATAGATATACTGGTATCGGCTCATATGTTGTCTGATATGCACTGACATGATAATTTATTTTTAATGGGACATAATGCAGAAAAAGATGCTTGGAGTAATTTGTAGTTATTACAGTTCCAATTAATTTTACTGTTTTAGTGGGCTGTCACAATCTTTGTCACAAATATTTGATAACTATATTTGCATTGCATTAATGCATATACATGTAATATTGGCTGACATGTCAATAACAGAATTTTTTACTACCCAGTATCGGTTTCGGCAACATCCCCAAAAATCAAGTATTGGCTATAATATATATTTTAAGCAGGAAGAAATTCAGTGTGTATACTGTAGTGGTTTTAAGGCTTATGTGTCCTTGTTTGGACTGAACTCTGATCAGGTTTCTGGACTCAGCACTGGCTTGCAGGGTATTCATTGTCATATTGCCTTGAACTGGGAGGTTCACCAGTAGTTATTAACAGCACTAAATGTTTAAAAAAGTTTTGATTAATTTGTGGAGTAGGGGTACAGATCTCTGTTGTAAAACTACTATATGTCTTTTCTATTTCTATTTCACCTTCACCTGTGATGTAATTTTCAATGTAGTTTTGTCCTTTCATGCGTGGTTCTTTCAGGATCACAGGGCATAATTCAACTAGGCAGCAATGGACAAGATGTGGCATCTGGCTCAGTTCAGGATGTCACGTATTCTGTATTCAGTGGAATACCAGTTCCTTTGTTTCAAAGACGGATCAATGTTCAGACACTTTCCCAAAATATGAGCTCTTTTAAGTGATTCTTAAGCTCCAAAATGCTTTCCATGATCAAATCACGGAATGTGATACGTCGCTCTATTAGTCTTTTGTAATTGGCTTACATTGCTACCCAAAAAAACCCCCATAAGTTTCCCACCTATTGACCAAACCCAGCCCTAGGATCTCATTTGGGGTAAACAGAGCAGATGAATTGCATCTCAGTTAGAAAATATGGGCCACTCTTCTCTAATGCGGCCCCGCTTTGTGGCGACGGCTGATAATACGGCTGTATTTTATCTCAAACTTTCAAGATGTCGAATGTAATCTCAGCAATCACACAACCATGCGTACAATACAAACACAAGCAGCTCCGACTCATTTCGCAAACACACCCACATAGATTTATGTTGTTATCGAATGACCTACATGCCCACTTAGACTTGTGGCACTTCTCTAGTCTTCCCACAATGCACTATTGCATGGGTAACAGAGATGATGGGTGAGGCTGAGATGTTGCGGCATGCCATTTATCTCTGTCAGACGTGGTTGAACACAAGTTCTTATTGGCTGGGCAGGATTCGTGATTGCTAAAGCGGCACCCCAGTCTCTGAGACCATGCTAATTAAACAGTGGGGAGAAAAGAGCAAGAGGCCTTCACTCTCTACCCTCTGAGGCTCCATTCTGCTGCAACCAGCATTAACACACACAGTCCTGAGACTGAGCAGAAAATGGAAACCCATCTTAAAATGCCATGACCCATCTTTGTTGTGGACTATACAGTGATTTGTGCTTCAGATGAGATTATAAAAGCTTACCTTTCAGCACTCAAGCAACCCTCCCAACAGTTCAAGAGCTGCAGGACAACAACAACAATGAAAAAAACACGTTAGCTTACAGTTTATTCACCCTCATAAAAGCTGTTATGATAAGAAGTTGATGTCATTTGCAGGAACAAGTTCAAGAGGGTGAAGACAGCAGCAGGTTTTGTTGTTGGGAAATAATTTTAATCACAGCACACAACAGCGCAGTGATCTGCTGCCCTGAGCCTGAGCTCACATTGAGTACTGCCATTGCTTTTTATGGTGTAAAGGGCAAACATTTATTACCCACTGATTACATTTGGCAGGCATATGTGTCTGACACTTAAGCCCTTGTAATTTTCCAAGCCGTTACAAAAACCCCTTCTTCGCCACTGATATTCAATCACTGCTTGATTGTGGTGTTTCTAACAGGGATTTCATTGGGGCACAAAAAAGGAATTGTGAGAACAAAGGGGAAATGGGAGTTGGGATGGGGGGGGGGCACTGAGCAGCTTTTTAGTTTAGTAGTAATTAAAATGTGGGCGGCACTCGAAAGGTCAAAGATTGACCAAAAAAAAAAAAAGAGAAAAAAGAGGGCACGTCACTGCTGATTGTGTGCATAAGGCGCTCAAGGTCTTGTAGATTAATACCAAGTTCACTTTCAAAAGGGGAATCCAGAGAGATGGGAGAGAGAATTAGTCATATGACCGATAAACAGCATATCTCCATGCTCTGTTCCCTTACTCCCCCCCCCTCCCCCCCCTTTTTTTTTCCAGCTGGGAGATAAAATTCCGGCTTGGCAATGGTTGCCAGCGCAATTGATTCTGGCTGAGGAATATGACTGCAGAGTACGAGGGCTAAGTATCTGAATAGCTGCTGTCAAAATGCTGAAGGGGAATTTATTCCTAGTTTATATGCAAGCTATATCATGGAGTTACTGAGACTAAATGGCTACAGTTTGATGTACAGTATGCTGTCATTTCACTGGCGTATAATCACGGAGCTGTTCGAGACACAGGCTTATGGGTGCTGTGCCTGGATTCGCTGAATGCAGTCAGAGCATACAATCATTTGCCGGGATATGACAAATCCGTTACATTTCAAAATATAAAAAAAAAAATCTTTGAACTGTTGTTGTAATTGCCAGGGCCGTATTATTGCTCTACATGTCAGCTTGTTATGTGTGAAAAAGGACATTTTGCAGATCTGATATTCTTGAGCTTAAAAAAATCCATTTTAAATGAATCTTGATAAATGATGCTCGGCATCAGTTGTATTTTGCATTAGAGGGATATAATGCGAGCATCATTTGTAAGGGAGTTAATGAGAAAAAGCAAAACACAACAAAGAGGTAGGAGAGAGGAAATTGGTAGCCCCATTGTGTCTGATCCGTCCCTCCACTAAAAAGGTGTTTTGACCGGTGGGGAATACAGAAAATGATTAATAGGTACACTCCAGCAATCAGCAGGCAATAAGAGAGCCACCTGTCAGAGGTCCCGCCGCCCTTCGTAGATTTATGGCTAATAATTGGCCATGAATGTAGCCAGTCTGGTGCTATCAGAACCTCACAGGGCCAGTTGGTTGGAGATACAAACAGAAGGAAATCAATCTGTATGTTTTATGCTGAATACTGTGAGAGTATGTGGAGATGAAGAAAATAAATTCCAACTGAAAATCCTTGAGCCTGCTAGAAACCGAGAATAGCTCCAGACAATAAGATTCCCTCCCTAAAATAGACAGACAGTCACATTTAATGGCGCCCAAGCCTGTGTTCATTTTATAGTATGAAAAATGTTAGGATGGCAGACATTACTGCGAGTCACTCCGCAGCGCTGTAAGAGGACACTTAACATTACTAATTGGATAGTTTATTAAAATCATTTGCTGCTCAGCTTACACTCCTTACATCTCAGTCTTTAACACTCCACAGAGTCTAATAGATTTAACAAGTGCTGTGTCTTTCCAGCTGCAGTTTGACAACACCTCGACAGGTTCTAGATTATGCTTTAAATATTCCCAAATAATGAAACTAGCACGTGCAACAACTGGGGAAAATCGACATGATGACGTTCTTAAAACACCATCTGTTGCACAGAACAACCACAGCAAGGCAAGATTAGCCAGCGAGGCTGAAAGAGTCACTTTATGTGACACCCACAGTGTTCCGGCGCACTGTAAATGGCAAAACACAGTATCTCCACTTCGCTTAATTTGAACCGCTGTTGTGTGTTCACAATGATTTCATTCAAATGCCAGTGGAAACATTTCTTGGCTATTGTAATTAATGGAACAGTAAGATTTGATGGGCACAAAGGCTGCTGTAAAACACTCTGAAAGGGAGAACGAGAGCACTGTGGATGTTTGACATTTCCATTTGTATCTGTGACAAGCGATCAAGCTTGCAAAGAAAGTGATATTATCCTGCTGTATGTAAACACAGTCTGGGAATATCAGACATGATGAACACTGATGATGTGCCACCTACCTAAATAACCCTGGTGATGACAGGCCTTGGCGCTCCATTTATTCTTACACTAATGTCACACCCCTCCCCCTTTACCTTACTACTGCACCTCCCCCTCATCCCACTCAGCATTCAACACTATTTCAATGCCTTCGCTTTATATACTTTGTTTTTTTGTTTTTTTTCAGGATTTGAGACATTTCTTTCTCTGCACACCTTGGAGTCAGGGTCACTGTCCTCCCAGCTCAACTCCCCTCCCTCCTGCCCTTCCATCCCTGTCCCCCTCCCTTTCGAAATTCTCTGTCCATTGCCCTCCTGACAGCCACCCATCAACCTGGGTGCAATTTAAAAAGCCCTTCAACAGCTGCCATTCCACAGGGCTGGCTATCAGTCCAGCTGCCAAAGCCCAGACAGGGACTCTGCTTCAGCAAGCAACTTTGAACGTCAGGTTGGTTCCCCCAATTCCAAATAGACTGAAGGTGAAAGACTCTATTTCTCAAAGATTGGTTCAGCTGGAGACAGGGCGACTGAGGCGGAGCTCAGAGGCAGCATTGCTGCTTCCTTCCTGACATGTTACAAGCCAACATCTGGCATGCAGTGTTGTGGTCTGGATGCAAATAGTTTGACTCCATGACCATGATTTAATAACACCAGCAAAAAACGATGTGTTGAATTGTATTTGTAAACATGATGATGCTTTGAGGGGGGGAAAAAAAGAAAGGGAGGATACTGTAAGGGAGGAATATTTGTGGTTCTGCAGAGATTTATCACTTGCTTCTGTGTCTGTGTTAGAGCTAAAGCAGCATGTGTGCCTGCCAGCCGGCCTGCATGCGAACATTGCATACATTGCTTGTCTAAATGCACATGTTGCCTGAAACAATCAAGTGAAAACAGCTCACGCTTGAGGCTGGGCAGCCCGCTGCTGTGCACTTCTCTCCAACATATGTCTTTGTCAAAAATATTTGCTGTGCGCCGAATGAGGGATGAAATCAATCCAAGTGCTATTTTCCCAGTTGCTCCTGAAGGCAGCAAAAATTGTACTGATACTTGCCAGATCAGCCCACATTGTCAAATGTAACAACTGGCCACCAGTGACATTCGCAGACAGACCATCTGGTCTCCAGCGTCCCATAGTCGTTTAGGGAAAGAATGGAATGGCTGAAGCCTTTCTCCTGTCTCAATTAGCAACTGGGAGAGATGGATGTGAGAACTGCTCTGGTGTTATGGACCAATCAAAGATGTGTGCTATGTGCCAGTTGAAAAATGTGTTGAGGTGGTCCATAGGCACCAGCCGACTAAAAATTTCCACTTAGAAAGACTGAACAGATGTACTTGTTGGCATTCATTTTCTGCGGTTTCACCCACTCAGCTGGACTTGTGGCACTCTATCTCCACTGCCTGAAGATAAAATCAACAGCACAGTGAGGTTGTGTCAAGGCGCTCACTAACACAAAATATAGTCTAATAATAAACTTTGTTAGAGCTGCATTTCGAGGTTGGCAATACTGTGTATGTTTGTCATATCTGCTTTATATTTTGATAATCTAATGCAAATACGTTTTCCATATAGCTGATGCTAATGCTGCTGTCTATTTAGCAAAAGGCCATTTCAGCTGAATTGTGTAAGTGCTGCATATAGCTGAAGGAGTGAAGCTATTTTCAACGGCTGCGTCTGGACCGGCTACAGCCATTGTGTCAGAGACTCTTGCTGTCCGCCAAGGCTTTTAGTCCATTGTGTAGCAGCATCACTTTTGCCCATAGCCACAAGACCACATGAACAAAAGCCTCAGTTGGCTGGGTCACACTGCGATGTACCTGCGGGATGTATGCGTGTTTTGCTAGACCAGGGAGGGTAACTGTTGGGTCCATTAACATGAGAGAGCGCTGCAGCTTCCAAGCTGGAAAAAATTGCCCTAAGCGAGCTGGCATTATGGGGAGGCATCTTCCCTGATCCCATTCAGCAAAGAAAGTTAATGGAGTTGAAGTGGGTCGTCTAGAGTTAAATTGAATCTGCTGCCAATGGAAAGGCTTTGATGTAGCAAAGATTAAGCAATTGTTGTAATTTTATGTGCAAACCCGGAGTACCATCAGCCTCAGAGAGCAACCCTTTTAAAATGTTCTCGGTCCATCAGTGGTTACTTCGCCCTGTTGGTAAGAACATGCAGTGGAATACAGTCAGAACTGTACAGCATGTGTTAAATGTACGAGAAATACAAGTTTTACTTTTGATAAGCATAAACCAGAGCTGTACTCGTCTTGTAATTTAAGGATGTTAATGCAGTGTGGAACAAGGACATACCATCTATAACGATCATGATAAAATATTTTGTTTGGTCAGCATGTTGTTGAGTGAGGCAAAAACTAAAAAGTTAAGTCAAGGTTCTGAGCATTTGCAGCATCTGTCTCATGGTCCCTTTTTTTTGTTTTTGAGGAAAACTCGAATAAGGTCACGTGTGTCAGACCTTTTTTACCCCACTTCTCTCTAAAGCTCTAACAGCTCCTCTTTAGCCAACAAGTGTAAGATAAGTCATGGATCTCTGGTGGGATATATCAGTTAATGGTAGAAGTGTCCTTCCCGTGCCCTTCTGT